TACTGGAGAAGAGACCGAACTGAATTCAGTGGCTGCTGAGATCCGGTATCCATGTTGTAGGCGCACTGGCGTCCATGTCTACGTCTGCGTCACGACCGTCACGAGTCACGACCAAAAACGTGCTGGAGTCGAGACTCTCCGAGTTCTACCGAACACCAACGAAAGCCTTGGCGGTAGCTCTATCGCCCATCATGCTTCTGAAACGTTCTGAAACAACGTCGACGCTGATTGGATACATTCCCATTCCTACCCTTTGATTTTCTTGTCAGCAATTGGACAGCTGGTCCCGTCTTGTTTGGGCAATTGAAAAACAGCACACAGCCTCCACCGCTCGGCAGAGATCGGCAGAGACCAATATACATATATATATATATATATATATATATATATATATATATATATATATATATATATATATATATATATATGTGTGATTTATTTTTGTTACAAAACACACAATTAACTTAGAATATGTGATTATTGTTTATTTATTTAAGAAAAAAAATTTAAAAACACAGGGGAAACTGGGAGGGCGGCGCCCTATCGCCCTCTACTGGCCAGCCGCCACTGGCTACAAGTGTTATTCTATTTTAGAAAACAATTGTACATTTGTGATCATAAATAAAAATAAGCTGTTCACCTATGAATTCATTTTGTTATGAGTGCACATGTAATTGATAGGACAACACTGTTTTTTAGCACTGTAGACCACAAGCACCGTGAGTGTGTCGTGGAGAGACTGGTGCCACATTTTTCAGCATTAGGAGTTTTAGAAGCAGTGAAGCTGCTTGATTTTTTTCCCCCTTCAATTCTGCTTCAGCAACAGCTCTTCCAGTTTTCAAATGCAGGTTGTTTCTACTAATATAATTTCCTACTGAGTTACAACCAATCAGCATGAGTTAACAACAAGTCCCGCCCAGTAACTCCACTGTTTCATTTCCAAGTACATACCCCAGTTCAGGTACTCTGTTGGTCCCTGAAATGGGCCAGAAGTGGTCCTTTCAAGCTGGCCCAGTGAAAAGGAGACATGCACATGCCATAAAAGTCTGGTAAAACCAGTGAAGTTTAGATTTTGGAACTGGTCTGTAATTTTCTTTAAACACTTTTCAAAATAAGAGCCATGGGCCACTGAAGATCAGTTTGTAAAAAAACGGGGTTAATGCGGAATGCATCATGTTTTTGACCTTCAGATTAGAATCCGTTCATTACGTATTTATATATAAGGTGATAAAGTCCTTGTTTAAGTTCCCGAACAGAAAGCGAGGAATTAAATATGTGACTAAATATGAGTGAAATTACAAATGATGAAAATCCCTAATCAAAAACGAAAGATGGAAAAGCCCCAAAAACTGCAACTTTGGAGAACCTGGAGTAAGAATAACTTCTGCATGTTTCCAACACAAACAAAACCATTGATGATCATGCATGTCTTCACAATAAAAACAACATTTTGTAAACATTTAAATAGTTTTATTCAAGTTATATTTTTTTCTATTGTCACTCAGGATTACTGTAGAAACAAACTCGAGTTAGTGACAGTGACGTTGTTTTGCAACAACTTTTACATGTAAAGTTTTTTTCTTAAATTATTCACAAATATAAATACATTCAGTTTTTTAGAATTAAAATCTTATTGTGTGTTCATGACACTTTATCTGTTTTACATAAAGTTGTGTATTTTCTAACATTCATTGTAGGCCACCATACCATACCATACCATACCATACCATACCATACCATACCATACCATACCATATCTATTTATAAAGCACCATTTCAAAATAGCATGGCAGCTAACCAAAGTGCTGTACATAAAAAGCCAAATGCTTGACCAAGAAACACAATAAGAACAGGCAAAATACATAAGAACAAAGCATAAATAGTCGGAGATAAAAATTTCTGCTAAAAACAATAAAATAGGAGAACATTTAACAGCACTATAAAATAAAATAATGCGACGAATGATAAAAACATTTGAAATGGCACAAATAAAACGAAATAAAATACCAGATGGTGCGAGGTGCCAAAAGTGAGCAACTAAATCATAAAAATGGAATTAAAAAGTCAAATCCGGTGCTAGATTGTCATGAAAAGTGTCACGGAGGGAAGGCAATGCTAAAGAAGTGCGTTTTCAGGGCTGACTTGAAACTGCTAACAGAGGGAGCCAGACGCACACGGAGGGGCAGGGAGTTCCAGAGTTTTGGGGCTGCATAAGAGAAGGCACACTCCCCCCGTGATTTGTACCGAACCTTCGGAACAACAAGCAGCAGATGATCTGCTGACCGAAGGGCACGGGTGGGATCATATGGGGTCAGCAGGTCCGTCAGATAGGATGGGGATGGGCAGTACAAAGCCTTGTAAACATATAACAAGACCTTGAAGTTAATCCTAAATTTGACTGGGAGCCAGTGTAAATCTGCGAGGATGGGTGTGATGTGCATGCGTCTGTCGGTGTTGATTAAAAATCTGGCCGCGGCATTTTGAACCGTCTGCAGTTTGCTTAAGGCTGGAGCATTAATCCCAACCAGGACAGAATTTGCGTAATCCAGACGTGAAGTAATGAAAGTATGAATGACTGACTCAAGATCCGGGCGTTTGAGGATTGACTTAAGACGAGTGATGTGGCAGAGTTGGAAAAAGCAGGACTTGACAGTAGCGTTGACTTGTGAAGAGATTGAAAGGTCAGAGTCCAGTTTAACACCTAGGCTAGTGGCACATGATTTGAGATTGAGTGGATGAGTTGAGACATCTAAAGCACCATTCTTGTTAGTGGGGCTAAAAAGTATGGCATCTGATTTGCTGTCATTTAACCGTAGGCAGTTTTGAGAAAGCCAGAATCTGACCTGGGAGAGGCATTCTGACATTGTAGAAAATGAGTGCTGTTGGTTGATTTGAAGGTAGATCTGGCAATCATCTGCATAAAAGTGGTAGTTAACCCCGAGACTCGCTAAAATCTTACCAAGTGGTAGTATGTAAATTGAAAAGAGGAGAGGACCCAGGATGGAGCCCTGTGATACTCCCCATGGAAGTGGGACATTGGGAGAAGAGCAGTCTCCAACATGAACACTAAAATACCGACCATTAAGGTACGACTTAAACCATTCGAGGGCAGTACCGGTCACACCCACCCAAAATTTGAGTCTGTGAAGTAGGATGGTGAGGTCTACAGTGTCGAATGCTGCAGTCAGGTCGAGTAACAGTAACAGCACATGGGAGCCAGAGTCAGTCAGAATCAGGATGTTATTGAGTACCCTAATGTGTGCAGACTCTGTGCTGTAATTACGTCTAAAGCCTGACTGGAATGGGTCAAGAAGCCCATTGTCATCTAGGTGAGAAGTAAGCTGCGTGAGAGCCAGTTTCTCACTACTTTTGAGATGAATGGGAGTTTTGAGATTGGGCGATAATTGGCCCAGTCAGACTGGTCATGGCCTGGTTTCTTCAATAGCGGCTGAACAACGGCATTTTTAAAAGCAGCTGGAAACACACCAGAGGAGAAGCTGGAATTAACAATCCAAAACAGCAGGGGCCACCGCTGGAAGGACATCGCGCAGCAGTCTTGGAGGAAGGCTGTCCTCTGGAGAGCCTGAGGGCTTCATAGCCAAGATTAGGTCAACCAGGGAAGAGAGTGTCACATGAGCAAAGCAAGAGAATGAGGGTGGACAGTGAGGTTCCACACAGGTAACCCAGCCTGAGTAAGAGAAACCGGTTCTAACTTCCTGGATTTTATGCAGGAAAGAGTTTTGAAACTCTTTGCAAAGAGCCCCTGTAGAGGGAGACGGGTTGGGAGATCCTCTAAGGGATAGTACAGAGGTGAGGACACTGTACAGTTTCTTCTGGTCGTTTTTATGCCTAGTGATTATATTTGCAAAATATCTGTTTCTAGCTGTGCGGACAGCTTTCTGATAGCGGGTCAAAGAATCCTTGAGTAACTGGTTGGAGATTTGCAGCTTGTCCTTCCGCCACCGGCGTTCGCAGACCCTACATTGGCGTCTTAGGGCAAGAGTCTCCTCATTGAGCCAAGGGTCTGCCACAGTTTTTTATGCCTGGATTTCAGAGGAGTGACTGCATTTAAAACAGTTGAGCAGGTAGAGTTGAAAGAGGTCAGCAGCTCATCAACTCCTACACAGGTGGAATCAGGTTGGGAAGTGGATAGAGTCGCAGCTAGGCTAGATGCTAATAGACTGGTGGTGAAAGGGGGAATTATTCTTGTAAGGTGTTGATTATGCTGCCTAGTGGATGGAGGTGTCAAGCCACAGATATTAAAAATAATAGGAGAATGATCAGAGATACATGCAAAGTCAACAATAAGATCAGATACAGATCCCTAATGACAAAACCAAGTCTAAAATGTGCCACATTTGACAATGTGCAGTAATTATAGTCTAATTAGCCACCATGTCTGATATTTAACCAGAAATCGGTGAGGCTGCATGTGCCACATGTCTCAAGTCCTCCAAGCATCAGGCTTTGACAAATGAATGTTCCTATGAAACATGAAGATGTTCCAAAGAACTACCTCCCACTAAAACATAAAGTGTTAGTATAATAAAGATGGCACATTTATGATCGTGAAACCTGGCATGTTCTTATAGCTTCAGTCAAGAGTGCTGGAGCATGAAGTATTTTTCTCACAAAGGAGCAATCAAGCATCCCATAAGGACAGTTTAACTCAAAAGCAGCTTAAATCTTCCATTGTCCCCGTTTAGCTGAACAAGCTTTTGCAGAAGCAGCTCAGACCAGGAGAGCTGTGTTACAGCTAGTGTTAGCTGTGGCATCTGAGGGAACTAGTGAATGTTTCTATTACTGGAAGTACGCTGCGAAGCAGCAAAGGGATTGGAACTTCTCGTCACTTTAATTGCTTTTTTGTATGTGGACATCAGTGTAGTGAAACGGCTAAGATGTTGACCATCAGTGGCTCTAAGCTTTTATTTCACACAGGAGTTTTTTTCCAAGAGCAGCCAAACCAAAACGTACAATTCTCTCTCCGTTTTGTATTTTAGATACATGAAATATATGAGTGCCATGCATGTGACAAGAAGTTCATCTCCACCAACCAGCTTAAACGCCATATGATCACACACTCTGGTAAGAAAACTGCCACAAAATAATACCAAAGTTGACCTTCGTGTCTAAGAAAGACGATCTGTCTCTCGTCAGAGAAGCGACCGTACACCTGTGAGATTTGCAGCCGTTCCTTCAAACGCCTGGACCAAGTCACGGCCCACAAGATCATCCACAGTGAGGATAAACCATACAAATGTAAGCTGTGTGGGAAAGAGTTTGCCCATCGCAACGTCTACAAGAATCACAAGAAGGTGAGCTAATTATAGTGTGTATTTCAGACTACTTGATTAAAGAAACAAAGCATCATAGTGATGATTATTTAGGATATTTAACGCAGTTATTCATTGAGTTGGTAAACACTACCCCGAGTTCACACTTTTAGGTAGACTGACATTACCAATTTCTGTCAAGAGGGGGCAGAGTTGTACTGTTTAGTCCTTAGCTTGTTACAGGACCTAATTAATTTGATCATTAAAGCCATTCTATGCAACCTTTTCATATTTGAAGTCATTTTTTGAGCCTGTATGTGCTAAAAGGAATCTTTACAAGGTTAATAAAATATCACTCAGACTCCACTGCCCTCTGTGGTCAGAATGCCACATTTGCAACTTCAGAGTAGCGAGCTGCCACCTGTTAGATTTGGAAGTGACATATCTGGCGCTGTAGTATGGTTCCAGCACATTTCCTGCATGTTTTAGTTTAGGGTTAGGTCATGAACATAGCTGATCACTCTTGTAAAAACCAGTGAATGCTGGGGAGACATTTCAGCTGTTAGAGTAAGGTGTTAAAAAGACGAATGCACAGTGAGGAGATAGGTTTCATTTTCGGTTTGACCTCAGAGAATTAATAACGGACACTAGGGGGTGCTAAAAGCAAGCAAACGTGCCAAGCGTGCCTTTAAAACAGTACACTTATTTAAAATTAGAAATGAAATAATTACTATTACATTCAAACAATGGTAATCTACCAGTGGAATTAGGCAAATATTGTAATAGCAGAGAAGATAAGTGAGCTCTGAGGTCCAAGTAGGCAATCAGTAGGAATAAAATGCGTCTTTTTCATGTTCATGTTTGTAAATTAAGCCATATGGAAATATTGCTGGAAGCTGTATGTTTGTTATGAGAAAAATGAGCTAAAATCTTTTGACATGTCATATGATGCTGATGTGTTTTGCTCTCATTCTGCCATTTGTACTACCTATTTAAATCATCACAAGATGCACATAAGCTTAGCATTAGGAATGGGTGGGAGTGAGTTTAGTTACAAAGCATGATGGATAAAAGCATGCTTGCGAAGAGGAAGGTGATCTTTTTTAACTGAAGTCAAAGTAAAAATTTAAATTTGATTAACTGCTCAGCCCTAGTATTAGTAATTATTCTGTCCACACCTCAGTACATTTAGTGTTGTTATGAGCATGCATCCCATCAGTTCAAAGCTAGTCATGAATTAGTCTGTAATCAATCAGAACCTCATTAGTAGCTTCTAACTGTGGGGCCTTTTCCAGACTCTCCTCCTGGGTTCTTCATGTTTACTTTTGGGATTAAGATGTCATTCCGATGGATAGGTGGTGGTGGTGGTGACTGATGTGAGGAGGGTCATTAAAACAGAAGCAGTTTAAATCCTCTCCAGTGGCTGATCTTCATCCAGTACACAAAGCAAATTGGCTACTGCTTTCGCCCACGAGCCGTTTAGATCAACTCAGAAATCGTTAAAGCAAACACACTGATGCAGCTTACTTTCTCTCTGCAGACGCACTCGGAGGAAAGGCCTTTTCAGTGTGAGGAGTGCAAGGCGCTGTTTCGTACCCCTTTTTCCCTACAGCGCCACCTACTCATCCACAACAGTAAGTTTTTATTTTTTCTGTTTTTTAAATTCCATTCAGTTGATTTGCATAGCAAGTTATTTCACAGCACAATTAAATTAATCATGCTATTTTTAACTTTTCAAACAAATAATAGGCCCATACAGGATAAAATATTACCACTGGCATTAAGGAGATAAGGAAATAAGAGTCAATGAAATCCTGCCTTTACCTTGAGGCAAACGCGGAAGTGAAAGTTATTGCAGTTCCACCCTCATCCACTAGGGGCTGGTGTTAGAAGCGAGCAAATCTTCATGGACTCCCATGTTAAAAATACCAATTTCACAGCAGAAATAAACATGTTTACAGCCTGGTACCAGAACATGTTTTTGGTTTAAATGATCTAGTTTACACTCTTGACCACTCTGAGGGGGTGAATTTTTTTCTCACTCTTCTGTTTAAGTGTATTAAAAGCCTAAAATTCTGTATAATTAATGAGCATCCGACCCACGTGACCACAGAGCTAGCTCCGTGGAAAGGCCTCAGTAGCTCAGTCTGAGCCTCGGTCTCGCCTGAAAACTGTTCCGCGATTTTTAGTCTCTGAACTTAGACCAGTAGTTGTAGTGTTTGTGCATTCTTTTTTGGATATTATTGGTGCAATTGTTGGACAAAATGACTTGCTGTGGTATTAATTGCACTAATAGAGCGTCCAAGGAGTCTCCACTTCAATTTTTTTGGTAAGTAAAACTATATTTATGTATTTTAGGTCACTGCCCCTCTTGCACTAGCTGAGCTTATCAAAGTAGCTAGCTAACTACCATTTTAACATGTACTGTTTAACCATGAAATTTAGATGTAATGCGGTAAAATAATTAATAGGGTATATGTGGATGGGTGTAAAACCCAGTGCATTTAACATAAAAATGGGTTGAAATATGACATGTTGGGGGAGCTCTCGGAGGGAGACTTCTGTGTTCCATTCCTCCACCCCGTTCTCCCCAGCAGTCAGCCCGGCACATCTCTGAACGCTTCAGCGCCTGTCTACTGCGCGGGCTGACCGCTTGTGGAGCTCTCGGACTCGGGAGAGATACCTGACCACAGAAACACTGCAGCTCTGTGAGTTGGTTGATAGTGCTTGATGTTAGTCTCCAGAAGTCTGTATGCCATCGGTTAAACTCGCTCGTTTTTTTTATTTTTTGCATATTTGTAAAATAGTGGTGGTGGGGAGCGACTAAAGAACTAATTTGTCCATGAAGGGCCGGGACCGGGTGCCCTGCTCCCATGGGAAGTAGTGTAGTTTAATAAAATGGAAATTAGTTAATAAAATTGATTATTAAAAGGTCCATATCCTGTCCAATAAGGCGATAGACTCAAGTGTTTCGTTTTATATATTTTTATGAAGTATGCATTTTGTATTACTCTTTATCCTAATTTTAGACCTTTTACTACAGACCATGATAAGCTATTAAGTATTTTAAACCCATATGCTTAAGTAGTTCTTTGTATGAAGTTTTCCTCTGGGTGATCCAGAGAGGCTTGACCTTTGGGTAAGCAACCAAAGAAGAGAGTGCTGGACTCCCAATTCACACTCCCGCTTGTGCAGTGATTACTTGGAGAGTCATCACTTCACCAAGGACTCCAGGGTACAAACACATTACTTCATATTTTGGTTAAGGTTGAAAAAATTGAACCATTAGCTGTATAATATACAGATGTTACATTGCTGTGTAACAAGAAAAAAATGTCCCCCTCCCTTGAACTGTCTGTGTCTGTTTGTCCTCTTTCAACCCTCTTTATTCCAGATTGGTTCAGCATTTACATGCTAATGTGGCGATACATAACCCAAGCCAATATTACAATAACATACATTTTTATTCAACGGAAACCTCATACACAAAAGGCTCCTCTTGATAAAGCAAATCTGTTCAGCACATTCTGACAGACAGACCACCATTCGTCTGTCGTTGCTGTACAGGACATTTTTAGTTTTTGTTTTTAAAGATAAATAGTATTACATTTAAAGAGGAATACTTTCACATTGTCATTTTCCCTCACTTTCTGTATACCTGTATTTTGTTTTTCAATAAAGAATGACAAATTATTCAAGTTTATGGGTTTTTTTTAGCACACAAATATCTGTCTGTAAAAAATATCTACAAATATCTACAAAGCTAATATTTACTTGGATACATAACAAGTATGATTGGGTTTTGCAATATGGCAGCCTCTAAAGTTTATTTTAGTAAGATTTTTAAACCAAGTAAAGTTAGTAAAGAACACATTTCAATTGGCTTCTAAGAAACGGTTGGACTTAAAAAGGGCCTGTTGTAGAAACAACTTGGCATAAATGATTCTCCCCTCCTTTTTTGCCTTAATCAAAGAAATCCCATTAATTGAGCAAAAACATTTTTTTTACATTAGATTTTATAAAATAACAGGACACAAAGTGTTGGTACAGTTAAAAAACGTAAAATAATAAAAGGGGCCCAGACAGCTGCAGAGTGAATGGAACATTGGGTTGTGAAGGGAGAACAGAGTTGTCAACAGTGTTATGGCTATAGATAAATTATGTCAACAACACATTAGCTGTAACAGTTAGGGATATGTTTATCCTATTTGTCTGAAAATAAACCTGTCCTAACGGCAAAATCCAAAAGCAGCGAGGCTCCCACCTGGAAGTCTTTCACAACTTTTGGAGCTAGCCATTAAGACAATCGGCAATATTAGTTAAAAGAATATCATTTCCCCTATTTTTGAAATGAACTCTGTCTGACAAAAATATCTCTGGACTGTCATGTCTGATGTGAGGATGCACAACAACGGCACCATTTAAGCTAGAAATAAGTGTAGCCATAACACTGCTGACAAACCTCCTGGCTTTCTCAATTTTATATGTATATATTAGGGCTGGGACTTTAACGCGTTAATTACGATTAATTAATTAGAAAAAATAACGCGTAAAAAAATTAACGCATATAATCGCAGCTTGCATTTCAAGCACGGCGGAACCTTTGTCATTGCACGACTTCCTCGTAGACTGAATGTCACTGACGCACACAACAATGCACAGTGCTAATGGCTACTAAAATGGAATAAAAACAGAAAGAAGTTGCCTTGCTTGGACTGATGCAGAATTTAGGAAACCCGTCCGCCTCTTTTCTTAACTTGGAAAAAAAACTTCCAGACAACAACGGAGTCCGTGTGGTGGACATTTTTCAGGGATTGTCTCTGCTGCAGCTGCCCGGTGTCACCGGAAACTTTACAAAAGTTGCGGTAAGCTATATTTTTTACATTTACGTAACATCTGTGCAGCGCTGAAAGCACCAGACAGAATAATTCTGTGCCCTAACAGTAGTTTATGAAAGTAGTCAGACAAACGAGAGGCACCTGGCTGCCGCTGGGAGAACGCTCCGTGTTCTCACTACTCTGTAAACAATCACAGACAACGTGTCTTAAAGTTGAAAACAGAAGTTTAACTTAAAACAGAAACACTCTGAAACTTTTCTGATGATTTTCTAAACAATTCTGTCGGGGAGTTATACGTTTCTGAGACGAGTCTCTGTCTAAACATCACATGCATCACTATCATTAAGCAGCAGGTGTGTTGAAGCTGTCATCAGCTAAGGGGCGGATGCTTAAGTGCATCAGGGGCAGCGAGGAACGAGGAAGTCGTGATCAGGCTGGAGATCACACCAGATTCGCTGCAGCAGGCGTGAATCTGCGGGTCTGCAGTGTCCCCGTATTAACGTGACATCAGGACTTCCCATGTAAGGAAGGTCCACTCACCTGTTCGTCACATCATTATTTCCTCGCCATGATCTTTTATCTTCCCATCATCCTCCAGTCATCCAACTGGAACCAGTTAGTGTTCCTGATCATTCTCAGAATATGCCATGCCTGCTCTGGTGTTAAAAGTTAGTACATTTAAGTCCTAGATCATATTTGTGCCTGTTCTACTGTCATTTTGAAGGATTATTATTTATGTGTTTTTACTACATTATGAGTAGAAATGCTAATAAAAACTCCCAATTATACAAACAAGTGAAACTGGAAAAATTAGAATCTGGTGCAAAGTCAAATTCATTGCAGTCATCAACTAGACAGAGAGACTATTTAAAGGCTCAGGAACCCTTTGCAGGTGTTTTCTATTTGTAATTATAAATTTGAGTTGATTTGGGTTTTGTTTCATATCACACAGTGACATTTGAATAATTAAAATGCATTTTTTTTATTAAAAGCTTTAGTTTACAGTAATAACCATGTCTAATGTGTGATTCTCTGTCTCATAATTTTAATTAAAAGTTTTGCTTTGAGAGCACATTTTCCTGAACGATTAAAATGCGATTAATTTAGATTAATTAATTACAAAGCCTGTAATTAATTAGATTAGAATTTTTAATCAAGTCCCAGCCCTAGTATATATGTAGTGTAATGGTTTATGGCTCTTTTCTGAAAGAGGAACCATTCTACATATTAATTTGAGATATTAATTTTTAATAAATTAATAACCAAATTTTATATAATTAAGAAGACTCAAAGGTTGTTTTCATCGATAAACTGACGATCATATCCGTGTGTCTGTGTTTCAGTTCAATGAAGAGACAAGTTTGAAAGTTAAGAATTTTAATTCTTCAATTTAACTAATGATTTGAAATGACAATCATAGGAAAAATAATCAACATTGGCAACCTTGTTGGACAATCTTTAACAGTTGATATTTTAAGCTTGCACAAATAGACCTTGTGTTGGAAGTGCTGAAGATTGAGAATGATGTGATGTGATTATGGATGCGTGTGTGCAGGTGTCTGAGATTGCTTCAGGAAGAAACAGGTGTCTGAGTGAAAATGGATGGTTTGAATTAAACTTAGTTCTTATTAGAAAAGATGCATCAAACGCTATCTGGTCGTGTGCTGCCTCACCGACTTTCAGACTCGGAACTCGGAGGATGTTCATCCAGGTCACACCTTGGCTGGCAGAGGAGACGAAGGTGTGCGATGCTCCGGTCCAGAGATGACCTCGGTACACGTTGATGAAGCGTTTAG